CGTTCCTCCCTCGCCTCGCTCAGCCAGTGAGCGGGAACCGGTCCGTATGTGGGATCCGAACCCTTGGGCAGGAGCGCCGCCGTGCTTCCCAAGCGGGGCACTATCCAGTGCGCCACCGGGCCGGCCCATATATTTTTATTTTTTATTCTGTCATAGTTAACCTTTATTTTTATCAAAATAATATAGTCGTGTACCACATAATGACGTTTCAGTCAATGACAAACCATATATATAACAGTAGTCCCATAAGACTTATAATAAAGCTGAAAAATTTATATCACCTAGTGAAGTCATACTTATAAGGTCATAGTGCAATTATTTTTTAATAAATTTCGTGTAGCCTAAGTTTATAGTGTTTATAATAAAGTCTAATAGTAGTGTACAGTAATGTCCTCGGCCTTCACACTCACTCCCCACTCACTGACTGACTCACCCAGAGCAACTTCCAGTCCTGCAAGCTCCTCCACAGTAAGTGCTCTTTACAGGTGTACCATTTTTTTTATCTTTTATATCATAATTTTACTGTACCATTTCTATTTGTAGATATGTTTAGATACATATTATATATATATATATATATATATATATGTTTAGATACATATGTTTAGATACAATTGTGCTACAATTATCTACAGTATTCAGTACAGTAACATGCCGTACAGGTTTGTAGCCTAGGTGCCATAGGCTATTTCATATAGGCTAGGTGTGTAGCAGGCTATACCATCTAGGTTTGTGTAAGTGCACTGTATGACATTCACACAATGACAAAAAAGCCTAACAAGGCATTTCTCAGAACGTATCTCCGTCATTCAGCAACACAACTCTATGTAACCAGTTAAAATTTCAACAGTACCCAAAAACACTTAAATGAAAAGCAGCAGTCCACTGGCTCACCCTCCTCCCCCCACCAGTCCCACACCCCCAGCATCAACAACTTTCAGTTCTTCTGGCTGTTTTGGCTGGTAGCTTCCCCTAGAGTCCTACATAAGAAGCTTTCCTTGCAATTGCTAGATCCATCTGTTTCTGACCTTACAGATTTTCTGCAATAGCAAATAAGGATTTAGTTCTCTTATAGCTCCCGGAACTCCTCCCCATATCACGAGTTATATCATTATTAGTTATATCATTATTTGAGGTTATATAAATTAATCTTTAAATTATATACCTTTCGGTTAAATCAATAATTAATGCTTAAATTGTGATCTTTTTAATTGCTTCAGGATATGGTGCATAATAGGATATTTAAGAGGGAAAGAAGATCAGCATGTAACTGAGAAGGCTCTTCAGACTTTTACTGGAAGTTAGTTGTATTTCTTTTAAATTGTTTCTTGTCTCTTAGTAAACATTTTTTCAGTTAGTAGTTAAATGCCATACTATTTAATCTACTTACAAAGAGAAAGCATCTTCATATAATAATGCCTGTTTTATAACCTACTTCAATTACTCATTAGTTCAGGAAACTTTCCTCTGTGGATCTGTGCTTGACACTACTATTGTGTTGACATGGTGACGAGTATAGAAATTATAAGATGGTGCTTAAGAAATTCTTTTTTTTTTTTTTTCCTTTTTTTTTGTCTTTTTTTACTGACCGGTAACGGGATTGCAACCCTTGGTGTCGCGCCCACACCAGGGACCGGCAACGGGATCGCAACCCTTGGTGTTGCGCCTGCACCGCGCTCAGCCAGT